ATTTGAATCTCACTTCCCTCTCATTGTGATATTATTTTCAAAGTGAAAAACACTTCGTTGAGTTCTTTGGAACTCCTGCAGATTGTTGTGTTGCTTTCGTAGGAGTCGAAATTCGTTCTATCCTGGGAAACGATTGTTGAATACATTTAGCACCTATGAAGGCAGGAAATTCGTTTTAAGGAAACATCTTGAGCTCGGTGGGCTCGAATTAATATTGTAATCATGTTGATCAAACTGATTACGCTGTTCAATTATTTCAAGGTAATTCTATCGTAATATTTGGAGTAAACTTTTATATTTCAGAATAACATAACTCACCAACAAGAAAGTGGTCGGGAATGATAGAGATCGTCCTGACCATATTTTTTTCGGTTGGTAAAAGTCTAAACTAAGTTGGGAAAAATATAGGTTGGCCACAGTCCTTGGTCGAGGAAAGTATACAATTGCTGATCAAGAAATTAATTTAAGTCGGTAAATGTGATTTTAAGCTAGTGAATTTGAAATTGTGCAATCCACGTTTCCTAACTATGGTTTGAATCGGTAAATATGATTTTATTTTAACATGTGCATTAATCAAAATTTCAAAACAAATTGAATGCCCAACTTAATAAATAAAAATAATGCACCAACAAAAATCAAAATCAAGATAAATCCGAAATCTCAACGCAATAATTACAATTCAAAAGACTAGCAAAGTAGGCAAAATAATACGTTGTATCGTTACAAGTGAGTTCTAGTTTCAAAATATGAGTAACTACATACACAGAAGTAATCCAAAACAATAGCATATCTAGTCAAGTTCCAAAATATAGAAGATAGTGAAGTCCAAAATAATAGCATAGGCAATAATAGAGTATCTACCATCGGGATATAAAACATCCAAGTGCAATATGAAGATGAATTTTAATCTAATGGCCATCATGTGACTCGTGATCAGGTGACGATGACAGATGAATAGTGGCTAATTTTTGGTTGCTGGAGAAAACGTTAGTAGTTGTTCTCTTCGTCTTTCAATTTTTAGTTTTTAGTTTTTAATTCATTTTGGATTTTGTATTTTGAGTGTCCATTTTGAGATTGTTGAAAACGCGTTTTTTTTGTCATTTTGAAAAATTGTTTTCAAAAATAAAAAAAATAAAACTTCATATTCAATAAATACCCCTTTTTGGAACTTTGTTCCAAGAGATTTGTCCCTTACACAATCGTCTGATACCTTTTTAATTGTTAGCGAGTAAACGCGTGAAACACAAAAGAATATCGAGAATTGACCGATCAACACTAATTAATTCAACAAAATATTGAAAATGTGTGAAATCTGGGTTTTGTGATTGTAAGCAAATACCTATACTTGAAATAATTAACACGGTTGATTTTTGCAAAGAGATTTAGATTGAAAAAATTGAAATCCTCCCAATTAAATTATTTTTATGTGATAAACAAGTTACAAGCCACAAAAGTTGAAGCACTAACTAATGGTTTAGCCCCTATTTGGTATAGAATAAAATCAAATTTTTAGTAGATTTTAATAAAAGTTGATGAATTGTGTTTTTGAAAAGTTGTGAGTCTCATGAATTGCGATTAAACTTCTCCATTGTTTGACACACATTTTATGGAAGAATTTGATTTGGAATAGTGATTGATGGAAGAATGTGTGGTTAAAAAGTAAGGAGAATTTTTGGGGTTCATGTGTAATTTTATTTTATTAATAGAATGTGTGATTGAAATGAAGAAAGAGAAAAAAATGAGAATAGGAATGAGAAAAAAAGGGATGTCAAACAAGGGCTTCATTGTTGGTGAACAAGCTCTATCATTTCGACCAGAATAAAAAACTCTCTCTTTTCCAACAAATATGTGTGGTGATTAGAGATTTTACTTGTTGGAAATAGTTTAGTTAAGTGGGTCAACTTTAAGTCTCATATTTAAGTGGGACCCATACGTTGATTATAACGGAGCCAAACATATTCAAGTTCTAATCTACGAGGTGATCAACGTGATATATTTATTTATTGAAAACCATTTAAAATTGAATGAAATATTTAATGTCAAATTAACCCGTTTGATATACGAATTTGATTTATTAAAAAATTCTCATACACTTGTCCCACATAGGAAAGTTATGAAATTTTAATGTGGTTATATTTAATGTCAAATTAACCCATTTGGAAATATAAACTAGTAAAGAATTTGATTTATTGAAAATTCCCAAACACATATCCCACATAGGAAAGTTAGAAAACTTTAATGTGGTTCATATAGTGTAAGGTTGGGAATTGAGTTTAAATCATAAGGGGTACCAATAGTCTTTGAAAGGAGAGAGACATATATTTTATTGGATTCGGTCCAAACCCCACAAGAGCGCGCCGCCACCGTCGTCCATCCGTCCGGCCGGCCAACTCGGCAAATTATATTATTTTGAGATATACAGCAGTACTTGAAGGATATTGCGATACAAATTGGATATCAGATATAAAGACACCAAATCAACCAGTGGATCTGTCTTTACACTTGGAGGTGCTGCGGTATCATGGAAATCTTCAAAACAAACATGATAGCTAGATCAACAATGGAATCTGAATTCATTGGGTTAGACAAAGTTGGGGAAGAAGCCGAATGGCTACGAAACTTTCTAGAAGATATTCCATATTGGATTAAACATGTGCCTGCTTTATGTATCCATTGCGATAGTCAATCAGTAATTGGTAGGGCACAAAATGCTATGTATAATGGTAAATCTCGACATATACGTCGTAGACACAATATCGTTAGACAATTGCTCTCTACTGGTATTATCTCTATAGATTATATGAAATCAAAAGAGAATATTGCGGATCCGCTACCTAAAGGCTTAACTAGAGAACAAGTCGAAAGTTCATCAAAGGGGATGTGATTAAAACTGACAAAATAATCAAAAGTTTCCATGGTGGCAACCCAACCTAGTTGATTGGAAATCCCAAAATTTAGATTTAATGGGACAACCGAACTGTGAAAACTTAGTACGTACTGGGGAGAATGTTTTCCTACCCATTCCTATGGTGAGATAGTACCTAACTGCCGTGAAATAGGATAAATTACACTTTTAATGATTTTTATATCCTGATTCGTTCAAATGGAGTATAG